AGGGGTCACTAAAAAGATCTCCAAAATCCTGAATAAACACAAGATCCAGGTCCGATTCAACACAGTACACAAAATCCGTGATTTAGTTCCATCTGTAAAAGATGCTCTTCCAGACATACAGTACCCGGGCGTTTACAAACTAAAGTGCCTCTGTGGTAGTAGCTACATTGGAGAAACCAAAAGACATATCTCGGACCGCATCCGCGAACATAAAGCAGACTTGAAACACGGTAAGACGAACTCCTCGGCCGTGGCAGATCACTGTTACAATTCAGTGGGCTCACATGACATTGACTTCTCCAAGACGGAGGTTCTTTGCAAACCAACTGGCTACCATGAGAGATTCGTTCATGAGGCCATTCACATATACAAGCACAGAGACAATTTCAACCGAGAAGATGGATTCAGGCTTAGTAACCACTGGAAAGATGTGTTAAATCATTTCTGTTCTTAATTAATTGTAATTTTACGATGACCTTCAGACCGCAGCTCTTTCGCCAGCATTGCCTCTTAATACCTCTCACACCACGGTTAATGGTATGGTTTACAACATGGAGTATACTAGGGCTTCGCAGCTGTCTCTCTCCCCCTCCTCTGTTCCGACCATGGACGAACTCGTCCGTCTGAACGGGGCCCGTAGCTATCCGTGGTACGGAAATTTGAGGGTAAGAATCCACCCATTTTTTCGCCATATAGCATTGTGATATATAACGACTTATGGTTGGTAGCTTAGCTGATTGGAGAATATAGAGTTTATTGATAACATGAAGGTAATTTATATTTTAGTTTTTATTGGTTCACTATATAGTACTGTGAATAGCTCAGATGTGTAGTCATTTCTGTGACCAGTCACCAGCAAATCACCCAGTTATTTCAATGCTAAATTCGCCTAGTTATTTCAATGCTAAATTCTCCTGTTTTGATTTGTACTAAGTGCCTCGGTGAATGTGTATGCTCTGACTTCAACGTAACTATTTCTGTAGCAGTTACAAGCGAATGCCTTAATTTAGCTATTTCAATGCTAAATTCTATGCTAATTCCTTTTAACAATGGGTGCCTCTGCGGATGTGTATGCTTTAACTTTTAACATAGCTATTTCTGTGACCAGTCACAAGCTAATCATTCAGCCTTTTCAATGCTAAATTTTATGCTAATTCCTTCGTCAAGGCTCTTTGTTCCTCTCACACAGCTTAAAAGCCGTGATCTGAACGTGGCTCTCTCACTCCAGCGCTGTCCTACCAGACAGTCTCGCTCCCTTCACCTGATGAAGGCCGCTTGTGTTGTGGCCGAAACGTCGTGAGAATATTATTGTGTTATTTTATTTTATCAATTTATTATTTTATTCTCATTCTACGTGACTTTACCGAAAGAACCAAAGAAGACGCGTAGTTTAGTTTGTTTATTGGCGGGGAATAAATCGTCAGTAGAGGATAAACCGTGTCGTGTTGTCTCTGTGAGTGCGGAGAGGAGGATGGGGTGTCGTGAGTCGGATCGACGGGGTGCACTGTATTTACACCCGACTGATCGCTGGCATGCCAGCACCCGACTGCTCGGTGGAGTACCCTGTGTTTGCGCACCAGCGAGTATTCTACCTGTTTGGGTACTCTCGCCACTACGTGTGAATCGTAGCTAACGTGTGTGCGAGGTAAACGAACATTGTGTACGCAAGATTAATTGTGTAGCTCGAGATTAGCGAGGGCGAGAGGGGCACGGGCGGCGCTCACGCGAGATTGTTTACACGACCTTTAAATCGGCTCCGGGGTACCTCCAATCGGCTGCGCGCGCACGGGGGACGCCCCTGCCCTCTGACCCCCGACCCCGAGTCCCGTGCGTGCGATTGGTGCGCTGCGCCGGGCAGGTAGCGACGTCGGATTTCTTGGTGCCTGGGCACGTAGAGTGTGTGTGGACTGACCCCGGTAGCTAAGCGCCAGCCGCGGACCATGCTTCGAGCAGCAACGGTGAGGATAGGAGAGCCGGAGGGCAGTATCCCTCCCCCGAGTACGGGAGAGGAGAGCCTCGGATCTCAAGGGAGCGGGGAGACGGAGGGCAGCATCCCCAACAATCTATATTTGTATCTTTCTGGGATTGCTTTAATTCCACAAAAAAAGTACGTGATTGTTCACACTTACATATGTGTGTATAAGAAAACCGTATCGTACTTAAACGCGCACGTTGTGTCACAGGGGGACTTTTCCACGTGCAACAACAAATTTTAACACACCTCATTACTACCGAAAACACAAGGGTAACCATGGCGTTCTACAACGCATTACAGCGACGTGTTTCAAACACGTTTATTGCGTGCACACACTGCCGGATCGTACAAATCAATGTAACGTTGAAAATAACAAGAGGACTAAACGGGGAGTTCACCAAGATCTGGGGTCACCCCTCGTGAATGCCACTCCACGAACCTTGAGTTTACTTGACTGAACTTTAAATGAGACTGACTCCCCCCTTCTCCCCCCCCACCACCCTCTTTCCCCCATCTTTTCCCGAAGAAAAGGGAGATCTAACGCATCACGTACCGCACAATGCTACGGTCCTGCACGTCTTTGTTGATTGTCCGAGCCACCAATCTCTCACCTGTCACGGAAGTTGTACACCCCCCCTTTCCACCCCCCCGTGGTTGGATCAATGAAAATAATTTACAAAAGAAAGAGATGAGGAGTAAACAACACCGCTTTTTTCCATATTCGTAAGCTCACGTGCCGTGCAAATCACGAAACGGTTTGGATTCACGAAGCATTTAAAGGCAACCCGCATCTCAAGACACTGCGCAAATGAGTGCAACTCATGTCACAGGTTAGCATTGGATCGCTCAAAGCAGGGTGAGGACGCCATGGTGGCTAGGAGACGTTAACTATCTTGCCTGGTATACTGGAGGTCGTGGTGGGTTCCTATCCCGACCCTGATGCCTGCTGTGTATTTGAAGTTTGTGTGTCTCTCTCCCCGTGGTCACGTGACATTGAGTCACCACTATAAATTCCCACGTGATGATGATGATAAGCCACTTCGTTGAGCTATCATTTGTTGTGGCCCGGTCGCTTCTGACAAAGAGCTACGTAGCTCAGTGGGCCTTGACCTGGTAAAATAAAAACGAGTTTTCTTTTGGTTTAACAACCCACTCATGATGTCTGAAACTTGAAAATCTGAGCTAAAATCTCATCTCAAAAAGGATCCACAAATTACCAAGGCAATCTGTGTATTTGTGTGAAACATTGATTAACCAAATATTTAAAGTTTTCTTGATGAAATCGGTTGCACGGCTAATACGAGTTGATAGTTTTGAGGCATAGGCAGAGGAAACAACAAGTGTCCCATCTCTATTCAGGGGATGCAGAACAATGTCTGACAGGGAAAGGGAAAACCATCAGATTCCGCATGCCCTCTCGTCGTAACCAAAAGACCTTGACATTGCCACCTAGCTCCTGCACGCACGTGTGTGCTATCATATGCAAAAACATAATTATGCCGTAGCATAATCCACTGTGGTGTTACACGATGCATCGATTTATGCAATGTCAATAAATAAAAAATAACAACCCTTGATTTGAATCGTGACTCCCTGAGTCATCACAATTTCCTCTCATCGCCGGCTGAGTGAATCGTTGCATTCTCGGTCACCTTTGGTGGTGGCGTGAGAAGTGGCCGTGGGCTCCGTCCTGTCGGTAGACGTCACGGACGAGGTGCTGACGACGATCCCTGGTGCTGACGACGATGGGGAGGGGCTCCATGTGGAGTCCTCGACCAGTGAGCCTGTTGAGCCGCCCGGGATGCTTGTTGTTGCTTTTGTTGTTGTTGCTGCTGCTGTTCTTGTTGCTGCTGTTCCTGCTGCTGCTGTTGTTTCTGCTGTTGTTCCTATTGCTGCTGTTGCTCCTGTTGTTGCTGCTGTTGTTCCTATTGCTGCTGTTGTTGTTGCTGTTCCTATTGCTGCTGTTCCTGTTGCTCCTGTTGTTGCTGCTGTTGCTGCTGTTGTTGTTGTTGTTGCTGTTGCTGCTGTTGTTGCTGCTGTTGTTGCTGTTGCTGCTGTGATAGGGACCGTGGAGCCAACTGTTGCTTCCTGGGTGCTCTGCGCAGTGCCAGCAGTGGGCAGCACCACGGCTGCGCTGCTCACCGTGGATTCTGCGGCAGGCGTCGCGACAGGCGGTTGAGTAGAGGTCGTCGTCAGTGGGGTTGAACCCGGCCTGGAATGCGTGGTAGAGTTTGGCTGTGGGCGAGCGCTGTCAGCGTGGGTCCGCGCCGTCGATCGTTCGGTCGTTGTGACGTAGCCGGGCGCAGATTCCGCCGCAGTTGTGGATTCTGGCAATGACGTGCGTATTTAATGCGACAAGGAAATGACAATGAACGTGAATGCAATCGACATCTCGTGTGGCATTCGAATTGGCATCAATATCCATCCATCTCCTCCGTGCGAAAGTGTTCACGGTTCAATTGACGCAGGCTGATGCCTCACAACAGCCGCGCTCACACGTGCAGTACCAACTGCAATCGCTTAAAGGTCGGTTTTTTTCAATTATTTAAAATGTATGAGAAATGTCATGTATGAGAAATGTCACCTGCAGCAAACAGCAAATTTCGTGTAACAAACATTTCAACTTTTTATTAACTTCTGGATGAAGGCCTCCCGCTCACAGTGTGAGTGGCCAGGGTTTTCTTGACCATACTTCACCACACTGGTTAGTGTGGGTTGGTTAAGGGGCAGAACGAGGACAGGTTCAGATATCGCTCGCCACTGTTAACCATGTCCACAATATAACTGAGGTTATATTGTACTGGTGCCAGTACAAGATCCACCCTGCGATATTCCAATCAAACGAATAACCCAAACGTGTTTTAAAGGTGACTTGATGTGAAACCTGTAACGGACAAAAGTTGGGGTCTAAATTGGGCGCCGCAGTGGCGAGATGTTAACTACCTCGCCTGGGACACAGGAGGTCGTGGGTTATATCCCAACTCTGACGCCTGCTGTATGTTTGGAGTTTGAGTGCCTCTCTCTCTCATCTACGTAGCTCGGTGGGGCCTTACCTGGTAAAATTATAAAAAGTTTTGTTTTAGTTTAGGAATGCTCTGTACACAAAACTGACGAAATTAAATGTTTACACTGCTGCAGTCACATGCGTGCATTTCTGAACGAGACAAGATCGAAATTTCCATCACATTTCAAAGTAAAGAATGTAGTGATGAGACGAGGGAGGGGCTTACCTGAACTTCCACTTGTAGTCGGGGGTTTACAGACTGTTGACAATGCAAATAGTACACACACACACATGAATGTACATTAGTATGATACCGTATTCTGTCAAAGATTAATATAAAAATGTCATGCGACGGTTAAGTCCAGTGTAAAAAGGAGCGACCAAAAACCAGAGAGGTAACCGATGCTGTCCCAGGACTCGAACATAATTACCCAAGCACTCAAACCATCATGAACGAGGCAGATCCCAGGCAGGGCTCACTCAGCCCATCATGAACGAGGCTGCTCCCAGGTAGGGCTCACTCAGTCCATCATGAATGAGGCTTAAAACGTAGGCTTTTGCGACCAATATTCATAATAAAGGTTTTTGGGTTAGATCGCGTTATTTATAAATGTGTCGTAACCCTCCACCACCCGACATGGCCAAACAGTAAAAAATGGGTCACGTTTAGAAAGGACAAATAGTTCACTACTTTAGCCCACCGGTGTGTTGAAGAGTGATGTTGATTCACTCTTCAACACACCGAATGAATGAATGAATGAGGCTGCTCCCAGGTAGGGCTTACTCAGCCCATCATGAATGAGGCTGCTCCCAGGCAGGGCTCACTCAGCCCATCATGAATGAGGCTGCTCCCAGGTAGGGCTCACTCAGCTCATCATGAATGAGACTGCTCCCAGGTAGGGCTCACTCAGCCCATCATGAACGAGGCAGATCCCAGGCAGGGCTCACTCAGCTCATCATGAACGAGGCAGATCCCAGGCAGGGCTCACTCAGCCCATCATGAATGAGGCAGATCCCAGGCAGGGCTCACTCAGCCCACCATCCGTCTAATGAAGGTTTTTGGGTTAGATCTCGTAAGTATAAAAGTGTCGTAACCCTCCACCACCCGACACAGCCAGCATGGTTTCTCACGTAAACAACGCGCCAATTAGTTACTACTTCAGCCCACCGGTGTGTTGCAGAGTAAATCCACAATATTTACAAACAGCTGCTGTGCTGTGACCTCCGATGAGCACGGTAGGCTACGTACAAAACAAGTTCAACGCACGCAACGTAGCGTGACGCTGCCTCACAGTTCAGCGCAGTCATACCTGGCGCACAGCCCTGCTCGGTGACACACAGACCGTCCAGAGCAACGTCGCTCTCGTCCGTTTCACCCCGAACTCCTTCAATGGCGAACTGGAACGTCAGAAGCACACGGCGCGAGTTGGTTCGCGTTCGGAGTGCGGCACGTGCCTTATTATGAGAGCCGACAGAGCAAAAAACTTCTTGTCTCCGTGAAACTTCTAAGTGGGAGGTCACTGGCCAATGAATGCATCATCGAATATGTATGTATGTATGGTGGACTTCTTTTGCACCTTACGTAGGCAACTGTGCTAATCGGAGGTGCAGGAGAAAGGACAACAAACTGAAAGCAAAAAGCAGCTCTAAAGAAAATAGTTTTCAATCTGGATTTGATAGTGCATAGCTCCCAGTGTTTTACTAATATTGGAAGGAAGAGCATTCCAGACGGCCGCAGAAGCGTCTTTGTTCGCTGGCCAGCCAAAAGCTGCTGTTGTGAGGATGACCGGAGATCACGTGATGGTGGTGTAAGCTCCTTGTTGAGATCAACAAGGTATTGTGGCTCATTTGTGGCAAGCGCTGTGTGTGTGTTGAGTGCGACCTTATTATAATGGGATACGCCTCGTGCATAACTCATCGTGGGCCATCTTGGGGGATTTCGGGTACAATGTGAAATGAATAATGGTCGCAATCTGCCTGTCTCATTCACTTCGTGCTGCGTGCCTGTGAGGAAGCTTTGAGAGCTGCAGTGTTTGGTGTAGACAGGCAGCGGGGGGTGCAGTCAACACTAAAGCTCCCCCCCCCCCCCCCCCACAGTGCCACGCGTCGATCACACGCCCATACGACGAGATCCCGCGAGAGACATGAACTAAAACTAAACTCAACCATTTTTTTTAATTCCAGGTAAAGCCCCGCTGAGCTGTGTAGCTCTTGTTCTTTAGAAGCGACCTGGGCCATCACAAGTGATAGCTCAACGAAGTGGCTCGTCGTCATCGACGTTTGGAAATTTACAGCAGGAGACAAATACTACTAAACGCGTGACGTTTATTCTAAATGTTGAAGGAAAAGTCGGAAGACCCCGAGAAAAATCCATGCGACCACGGGGAGAGAAACATGCCAACTCCAAATATACAACAGGCGTGAGGGTCGGGATCGAAGCCACAACCTCCTGTAGAGCAGGCGAGGTAATTAACATCTCCTAGCCATGGAGTGCACGCCATTCCTACTCTACTCTCGCGTGCGCCAGCGACCAGTTCAAGAGCTCGATGCTAATGTCGAGGTCTGCTGGCCACGACGAGCGGGCTTTGGCACAGAGAGTTCGTGTCGTTTTGCCATTCATCCTCCAGTGAAGGAGCGCAGGCCACAGCGATATCGTCCGTTGTTCGTGTTGCATTGTCTCAATCGCGCTCGCTATGAGCTGGCTCGTCTTCAATTCCCCATTCGCGTGCGCGCCGAACTGGTGATGCTCTGGCCCGGTTGATGGTTCCACCGGCGTCTTCGGGGCATGTCTAAGCCAGGAGAAGTTGCCATGTTTGGGTTCTCTAACGAGTTTGTGTTCATTTGTGGACAGCCTCTGTAAAACAAGGGGCGTAAACCGGCGAGTGCGGTGCGAAAGCCCAAATCGAGTGTGGTGACCACGAAGGCGCCACTACACATGGAGTGTTTTTATTTCACGCGGACAACTTCTTATTTTTCTCCTGTGTCACTTTCATTTGAACAGAACTCCTCGCGTTCAACACCACCACGTGACTCCGTCGCAACTCTCCCGCTTGCACTGCTCACCTGCTTCGCTCACTCTGCTCTCTCTCTCAGCCTCTCCACTGCTAGCCTGTTCTCTCTCTCTCTCTCAGCCTCTCCACTGCTAGCCTGCTCTCTCACTCTCTCAGCCTCTCCACTGCTAGCCTGCTCTCTCTCTCACTCTCCTAGCCTCTCCACTGCTAGCCTGCTCTCTCTCTCCTAGCCTCTCCACTGCTAGCCTGTTCTCTCTCCCACTCTCCTAGCCTCTCCACTGCTAGCCTGCTCTCTCTCACTCTCCTAGCCTCTCCAGTGCTTGCCTGCTCTCTCTCTCCTAGCCTCTCCACTGCTAGCCTGTTCTCTCTCCCACTCTCCTAGCCTCTCCACTGCTAGCCTGCTCTCTCTCTCCCTCTCCTAGCCTCTCCACTGCTAGCCTGCTCTCTCTCACTCTCCTAGCCTCTCTACTGCTTGCCTGTCTGAATCTCTCTCACTCTCCTAGCCTCTCCACTGCTAGCCTGCTCTCTCTCTCACGCTCCTAACCTCTCTACTGCTAGCCTGCTCTCTCTCTCCTAGCCTCTCCACTGCTAGCCTGCTCTCTCTCCCACTCTCCTAGCCTCTCCACTACGAGCCTGCTCTCTCTCCCACTCTCTCAGCCTCTCCACTGCTTGCCTGCTCTCTCTCTCCTAACCCCTCTACTGCTAGCCTGCTCTCTCTCAGCCTCTCCACTGCTAGCCTGCTCTCTCTCTCACTCTCCTAACCTCTCTACTGCTAGTCTTCGGGCACTCACACTTAGGATTTCGCTAGCCTCTCTACTGCTAGTTCGTTTGCCCTCACTTCTCCAAACTCTGTGGGGGATCAGCCAGCACCGCTGGAGAGGACGAGGTGTGGAGAGCGGGCCCCCCACTTCTCTCGTCTCCCCTCTTCTCTTCTCTCCAACCAACTCAACTTACAACCACTCCCTCGTGTCTCCGCACATCGCCTTATATTCCCTTACTCATTAAGAGACCCCAGGTAGCCTTCATTAAGCCGCTGCTCACGCGTGTCTTTGCCAACGCTTATCGCCTCCATCTCCAGACTCCCAGGCGCCTACAACGTGTCTGCATTTGCAGCCAGCCAATTACTGCTATGCATCTTAATTGGTCGTCTCTCTCTGGATTGCTTTCTCAGAGCACCTGTTTGCCCTGACATGACCTCGCTGTCCGCCGCTCACACATGCGTGCACACTGTTGGCAAAAGCCCGCACGCGTTATTCCACTACACACACACCAGGACCGCTCACTTACCTGCACAGGTCCTCTGCCAGAGAATTCGACCCGCGCCAGCATCCAGCTCGCTCCCTGGTTCCCCTGCAGGGACCACGCGAGCTGCCGGCTGGAGCCTCCTGCGGACAACCCCACCAGCAACGGAACTTTCAAACGCAGAGCCGCAACCTCCGATCACGTCACGGGGACACACCGCACTCCGCCGCCGAGGTGGAAAGGTTCTGGGCTGATGGAAAAGCGAGCTCCGTGTGAATTTTGATTTACTCAAATGAAAGGCGTTCAGTTTTGCCGGAGAGCTGTCCACCAGAAAATAAACAAAACCACATTCTTAAATGTCAATGGGCGTCAAATTATCGATGAGTCTGCAGGTTTCCTACCTTCCTTGATGTAAACGTTGATGGCCATGTTCTCTGCTGACCCATACAGGAAGTAGTGGAAGCTCAGGACGAGGCACCCAGAGGAGGGGAGAGCCGGACTCTCCAGCAGCAGCGCCGCTCCAGGGTCGTTGACCTCAGAGTCCAGCAGCAGGTAATTCCCAACTACACACAGCACAGTTAACATAGTTGTCCACACACACACTGCTGTATTCACTAACACAGTGATCCACACACACACTGCTGTATTCACTAACACAATGATCCACACACACACTGCTGTATTCACTAACACAGTGATCCACACACACACACTGCTGTATTCACTAACACAGTGATCAACACACACTGCTGTATTCACTAGCAGTGATGCAAACACACTGCTGTATTCACTAACACAGTGATCCACACACACACTGCCGTAGTCACTAATACAGTGATCGAGACACATTATACTAGATGTGGGTTTCAAGGCCAGTAGCTGGAGTGGAGGCTGTGAGTGATGCGAGGCTGTAAGATACTCACAGCCAGGCCGTGAGAAGTCATCGTCAGGGCCAGTGTTCTCAGTGTTTGTGGGACCGTTCCAATGCTCCCAGCCAAAGTCCCCTCCGCTGTTCGCCCAGCCGCAGAAGTCCCCCATCTCATCGAAGTCACATCCGCTCACACACTCTGTTGGGTGATTTAAATAAAATAAATAAAAGATCATCAATACAAACACAGAAACATCAGCCACGCATTCACACACATTGGTATTTTTTTTTATCAACCTGGTTTCAGGGTTTGTGTTTTCGACACCGGTATGCGTGCCGATGGTGTCACGGGGCCTTTGGGTTGCACTTCAGGGCACGTTAGGAGGTGTCTTGTCAGCGCCGCCAGCACCAGCAATGGATCCACCAGCTCTGCGAAGTGCCCTGGTCGTGGGCATGCTCACTGCGTGGCTATTCTGCCCATTCTCGTTAACCAGAGACCAATGTTTTGTCGTTCTCTGTGAAACGAACAACGCGATACGTTTGGGAATGAACACCGAAATCTCGACCCAATCGTCGCACCTCCCGACAATGAAAAACTCCCCGGAGACACCGGTGGAACCGTCAATCGCATCGGAACATTGACAGGCTGATTTCGACAAGCCACATCTCTCTTTCACGAATGGAACATGAAAGACACAAGCCACGGTGGTGTGTCCATGCAACCCGCACAGAATAAACCCACAATGGAGGAAGAGCAAAACTACAAATTGGACGTTGGCGTTGTGCTTCCGAATAGACACAAATGGGAGTACAGCACAATTGCTTTTCATCGCGGAATTGGTTTGTTTCCTTATTGCACTTTTTTGCATTGTAAATGAACAAATAATTCCACCCGCACGGCTCGTGTGAGTCGGTGTTTCTTGCCCCTTCAATTGCAATTTGCTGCAGTTCTAAAAAAGTTACGGCTGCTTGAAACGCCATGGTGGCAGGAGGCCGAGCTAGTCAGTGAGGAGTCTCCAAAAGTCTGCTCATTAGTTTGGAAGACCCTTTAACTTCGATGGAACGAGGAATACGTTACGTTTTATGTTGGAGACATGGGAGGAAATGATGACAGATAGTAGGTTTTACCCTTTCTGGCAATAAAGCAGGTGTTAAGATGTTCAAACGCCAAATAGAAACCTATTGCAACTGGGCATAATCAAGTCTGCAATATGAGAATAGGTTTTCCCCTTTTTTCTGGCAACAAAATAGGTGTTAAGATGTTAAAACACCAAACTGAAACCTTTTAGAAGGAATCATGTCTGCATTAACCACAATACTTGTAGTCAGAATGCAAACAAAAAATATATTCTCATCATATATGCATTGTCTTTGAAACTGATTGGTCCACACCTTTTGGCGTCCTCTGGTCTAACACCGTTTGAGACGAGGCTCAAAAGAAAGCTGTCTGTGGTGTGGACCAATCAGTTTTAAAGACAATGCATATATATGATCAGAGTACGTTTTTTTTGTTTGCATTCTGACCACAAGCATTGTGGTTAATGCAAACATGATTCCTTGTCAAAGGTTTCAGTTTGGTGTTTTAACATCTTAACACCTGTTTTGTTGCCAGAAAAATGGGGAAAACCTATTCTCATATTTTGGTACTGGCAAAGGAGGTCCCATAATGAAGTCTGCAATAACCACACATACTTGTGGAAAACATGCAAACAAACATAACAGCACATACTTGTGGAAAACATGCAAACAATATTCTCGCATTGTCTTTGAAACTGATTGGCCTCCACCAGAGACAGCAGCCTTATTCATGGCCCTGTCTTTCTGGCCTTATTTCCCAAAAATTGTAGTGGCTACGTGTACACACACGACGGGCGTGTCACGTGTACACACATGTACACACACGACGGGCGCGTCACGTGTACACACGTGTACACACGCGACGGGCGCGTCACGTGTACACACGCGACGGGCGCGTCAAGCCAGTCACGGCACCCACAGTTGGCTGTGCCCCCTTTCTGCGCTCTTACCTGGACACCTTCCCAGCACCACTGTGATGTCATCCAGCGCCACGTCGCTCATCGCGGTGACTCCTCGAATGCCCTCGACGATCACCTGCAAGGATTGCAGAGCCCGGGGGCATTAGTCCCAAGAGGCATGCTCTAGGGTGCTACCAAGCACCAGGGGAATGCTCAACCGAATATTGAATACAAATTTTTACGCAAAACACAACCGACGTCATCTCACACGGCAGATGCGATGCACGATCCTCCTCTAGGCCGGTGTTGCCAGGTGGCACTGAGCTCGGTGTGTGGCCTGGCCTGGATGGTGAAAGTTTTGGTGAGTATTAGGGGCCACTGACCTGGGTGTGTGGCCTGGATGGTGAAAGTTGTGGTGAGTATTAGGGGCCACTGACCTGGGTGTCTGGCTTGGCCTGGATGGTGACGGTTCCCTGCAGCCAGGCGCTGCTCTGCTGCCCCTCCGCACGCCACACGCGTCTCTCTACGCCGTCCTCCAGCACGTGCACGTTCAGGGTCATAAGTTCATCGCCGTACATGTGGTACCAGAAGCTCAGGCACACGTTCTGGTTGGTGTTGATGCTGGGACTCAGGAGCCTCACTCCTCCCCCAGCTCCCACGGATGCAGAGTCCAGGTAGAGGTAGAAGGAGGCTGAAACAAACCGGCATCCCGTGCCGTCAATGTGTGCACGCGGAGCGAGCGGTGGCACAGCGGTTTGTATGTTGAACTTCTTTCGTACCATACGTAGCCAACCGTGCTCATCAGAGGTGCGAGAAATTGAACGTGCGAACGTTTGGCATTTTCATCTTTAAATATTACAAATATTTAAAAGCCTCATCTTAGGAACTATCCTATTAGCACAGTTCGCTACATACAGTGAGGGAAAAAAAGTATTTGATCTCCTGATGATTTTGTACGCTTGCCCACTGACAAAGAAAGATCAGTATATAATTTTAATGGTAGGTTTATTTGAACAGTGAGAGACAGAATAACAACAAAAAAAATCCAGAAAAATGCATGTCAAAAATGTTATAAATTGATTTTCATTTTAATGAGGGAAATAAGTATTTGACCCCCTCTCAATCAGAAAGATGTCTAGGCTCCCATGTGTCTTTTATACAGGTAACGAGTTGAGATTAGGAGTACACTCTTAAAGGGAGTGCTCCGAATCTCAGCTTGTTACCTGTATGTATTATTGGTTCTTTCGGTAAAGTCACGTAGAAGGGAAACAATCAAATAATACAAACCTAAAACAATAAAATTATCACGACGTTTCGACTGCAACACAAGCAATCATCATCAGGTGTGAAAACCACAGCAAGAAAATTTGAAAAAAGTGGCTTTTTTAACGTTAACAAACTGGCTCGTTTTCTGTCTGATATCCTGCGGCCTTTTATTGGAAAAACCACCTCTGCGGTCCAAAATTCTACTCACCTGGTAACGACAATCAAGGGTATTTCCCTGTCCCCAGACGACCTGCTTGTCAGTTTTGATGTAGTTTCCTTATTCACCAAAGTTCCTGTACCTGACACCATCGCAATCATTGAAGACTTGGTCCATCAAGACCTAAACACTGAGGTACCCCCCCTGGTGAGACACTGCTTAACCGACACATACTTCACTTGGAATGGAACTTCTACAAACAAACTGAGGACACCCCAATGGGCTCCCCCCTATCTCCGTTTGTAGCCAACATTTTCATGGAGAAATTTGAGACTGACGCCATCCAGACTGCCACTCTGCGCCCAACCTTATGGAAGAGGTACGTGGATGAAACTTTTGTCATCTGTCCACATGGCCGGCCTGCTCTAGACCAATTCCTCGACCACATCAATTCCATACACCCAGCCATCAGATTTACCATGGTAGTCGAAAAAGTTGGCAAGCTACCTTTTTTGGACGTCCTAATAAAAGAGACCTGATGGTTCAATGAGCCACTCTGTCTACAAGAAAGCTACCCATACAGATGCTTACCTGAAGCCAGATTCCCACCACCATCCATCCCAGAAGAATTCCCTCATCAAGACTCTGCACCATAGAGCCCAATGCATATCCGACCAGGAACACATAGCCAGTGAACTCAAGCACGTACACCAAGCTCTTAAGGCTAATGGTTACTACGACTACACAATCCGCAAAGCTATCACTCCAACTATGAAGAAGGACCCTCTTGAGGAGCCTTTCAAAACCATCACTTTACCCTACATTGCGGGGATCACAAAAAAGATCTTCAAAATCTGGTTCCGTCTGTAAAAGATGTGATTCTGGACATACAGTACCCTGGCGTCTACAAACTAAGTTGCCTCTGTGGTAGTAGTTACATTGGAGAAACCAAACGACATGTCTCGGACCGCATTCGTGAACACAAAGCAGACCTAAAACACGGTAGGACCAACACCTCGGCCGTGGCAGATCACTGTTATAATTCAGTAGGCTCACATGACATTGACTTCTCCAAGACAGAGGTTCTTTGCAAGCCATCTGGCTACCATGAGAGATTCGTTCATGAGGCTATCCACATATACAAACACAGAGACAATTTCAACCGAGAAGATGGATTCTGGCTTAGCAATCATTGGAAGGATTTGATAAACCATTTCGGGTCTTAATTGATTGTTCACGCTTACGGTGGCTTTCAGACCGCATCCATTATTTTCGTCTCGCCCTCCTCTTTTCCGAACATAGATGGACTCGTCCATCTGAATAACTGACAAATCGCTCTCCGTGGTGCTAACTTTAAAAAAAACGGCACTTTTTTAAAATTTTCTTGCTGTGGTTTTCACACCTGATGATGATTGCTTGTGTTGCAGTCGAAACGTCGTGAAAATTTTATTGTATTATATTTTTATTATTTTATTGCTTCCCTTCTACGTGACTTTACCGAAAGAACCAATAATACAAACATACTTAGTTTAACACGGAGGCTTCCACAACCAATTGTGCGGTTTGCGCACCGCACTGCGATGCTGGCAAACCTGATTAGACTCCTGGGCACGCACATCTCGGGAAAGTGGTATCTGAACTTCACCTGGGAATGACTCTCCTAGGTCGACTCTGCCTCAAATGAGTATGAACCCCTGTACAAAAAATAACGTCCTATAAATATCAGGGGTTCTCACTCGAGTATTCCCAGCAGCTTCCACGCCAGTGTGATCAAAGAGACTCGTAACAATTCATCCACACTCGCCTCCTCCAAGCCATCGTGCCCACATGCAGGCCAGGTGCTGAGTCACCTTGTGCCCACAAGGCCACTGGGAGCAGGGCGCTGCGGTGGCTAGATGTTAACTACCTCCCCTGTTATACAGGAGGTTGTGGTTTAGTTCCCAACCCTGACGCCTGCTGTCTATTTGGAGTTTTCGTGTCATTCTCTCCCCGTGGTCGCGTGGACTTTCTCTGGGTCCTCCGGTCTTTCCCTCCACATTTAGAATCAACATCACGCGTTTCGAGTATTTGGCTGCGATACATTTCGAGATGATGTTAAGACACTTCATTGACCTATCATTTGTGATTAGCCTAGGAGTGTAATACGACAAAGGCATTTTCAATCCGGAGTACTGGCAGAGCCAGTGCATCAGCCCATGAGTTCTATCAAACAACCCGTGGAAGGAGATATCGCAGAACTACTCCTGGTGCATTAACGCACTTAAGCAAGATACAGTCTCGGCACTCACATCCGGTGGTGTGGTCCCCAGGTGGACCGGTGCTGGGGTTGGAGGTTGCTCCCGAGTTCCTGTACCAGTCTCCGGCGTCATCGCCCGACTGAGTCCAGCTGCACAGCGGGAGTGCCGCATCGTCAAAGCTGCAGCTGAGACGCGCGTCTGCAGAGACAACACGAAGCATCATCAACCCGAGTGCTTTTCCTTCGTGAAATATCATCGTCGTCAGTCACGAAAAATGCTCCGCTGGATAAAGGCTTCCTTAAAATCGTGACAATTCCCCACAGTCGTGTGATGTCAAGATCAATCTCACTCCCGGTTCCACTGCATCATCTGCGTTGTTGGTGGATGTTCTGCCCTGGCGTTTTATCTCCTTTGGCTTCCACTCCATCATTGGTGACGAATGTCGGCCATCATCCCTTCCAGCCACGTGTCCTGACCTACCCCCCCTTTTCTTTTTTTGTAAATTATTTTCATTGATCCAACCACATGGGTGGTGTACAACTTGCACAACACGTGAGCTGTGCATAGCAGGACGTGTAGGACCGTGGCGTTATGTGGTACGTGATTCTTCCATGAACTCGGGATGGTCTTTCTAGCCGAAATGTTAAATACTTGCAGAAGGTGCCTGGTGACGCCTTGAGGTTTAAAGCCCAGGAGGGAGGATTCAATGCTTGGTGTTATCTCGATGCCAGACATCACATTGTACAGATCGGTTATTTTATCACGGAATGTCCTTATGAAGCCCCTTTCTTTAAGATCGATATTGTGTCCCTAACTTGCACACGTTATCTAAGTCTGTATGTTCCTATTTCTGTCTCTCAACGCGGTGGCAGAGTTCTCCACGTGTTTCTTGGTGCAGGTTTTCAGACTTTGTTCCCCCTTTATATTTGTCCATGCCCCACGCTCCTGATCCACTGATTTGATCCAGGAGCTGTCCCTTTTGTATTTGCCAAATGGGCTGAACGTTGTAACTGGAGCGATTTACTAGACGTGCGCACAAAAAAATACCACCAAGGGAACACTCAGAGCAAATCTCTTCCACAAACAAGACGGGCAGTGCTCGACGGTGAGAGTGCACGTGCGTACGTCTAACTTTTTTTGCACCATATGTAGCCAAGCGTACTAATTGGAGGTGCGGGGGAAAGGACAACAAACTAAATACAACAAGCAGTTCTAAAGAAATTAGTTGTCAATCTAAATGATTTAAAAGTGCGTAGCTCTAGTGACTTTCTAACATCAGAATATGTATTCATACTGGAAGAATCTGATGAGCTATAAAGTTCTTGTTCACAGATGTCCAGTTGGGGCAGGCAAGAACGTTTCAGCAAGAAACAGTACATTGGAAGGCAGAGCGTACCAGACGGCCGCAGAAACGCACCTGAAAGCGCCGTGCGATACGGTGACCGCCGTCTTTGTTCGGTGGTAAAACCAAAAGCCGCTGCAGCTGCTGCCGTTGCAGCTGCTGCTGCGAGGATGACTACCGGAGTGGCCACGTACCTGGCTCGGGAGCTGCGGGTGTCTGCGGGATGCACACAGTGCTGGCGGACGGCGTGGGCATGGTGGTAGTTGTTGTGGTAGTTGTTGTTGTTGTGGTGTTCACCGCTGTGCTCTCTGCAAAGCACAGCATGCGGTATTCTCGTCAGTTTCACCGGAGCAACGTTCCGTGCGAGATGAGCATCCAGTAGTTTTGCACGATTTTAATTTTAACGTGGATGCATATTTGCATTCATCTTGTGGCGCCACGGCAGCGAAGCCGCTCCACCGAGGCCGGGCCCGCCGCTGTGATGCCGCAGCAGCAAAGCCGTTCTGCTGACCCAGTGGCCGCGACGCCGCCACCTCCGAGCGACGGGGCCGACGCCGCTCGTCCATCACCACCCCCCATTTGAACACACGCATACCCCCCACATAGAGCCCCGAGGGGAGGTCACCTGGCCGGCAGGTTTTCACCCAGAAGCCCCTCATGGGACCAAGCTTCACGGTTTCCTGCGATAAGGGAATTGGGCGACCTACCCCGAGGCTAACGTGCACCGCGGCGCCGTGACCTGGATTGTAATCACGTGGTCACGA